ATCATTTTACATCACACCTAAGGTTCATTTATTATTTGTTATCAATTTATATGGTAGAACATTGCACTAGGGTACTTGTTAAAAACTGCTCATAATGACACCCATAATTGTCTGCCGCTCTCACTTGTTTCTTTCAGCAGGTTGAACCCGTTGAACAGTGGATCAAAATAAAAATCGAAAAAGACCCCCGAATCTCGCCAAAACATGTAAATTCCCGAAAGCTTTATTTGAAAATAAATGAATCTTTACGGAGCGGATTCTAAAGTCAAGAATCGATATTTCAGTATCCAAAATTGCCGTCCCACATATGCCTGCATTTCGATTTAAAAGAGAGCAAATGTTAATAACTTGGATGCCGAAACCAGTTCTGAATTCGTAAACCCTTTCCAAATCTCGTAGGCTAATCGTCGGCTCCTCTTTTTTGTTTCTTTCTGCATCCAGGTTTTAAATATCCACTGTTCACGGGGTCGGCCTGCACGCCAACTTCTGGGTAGCATACTCCTAGGTGATCACTTGGTTTCTTGACGAGAAGGACATTAGTGAAATCCGCCAAAATGCAGATGCCACAGTTCAACATCGATGAGACGAAGGAGAGGATGACCGAGTTCATTGGAACTGCCAAGACCAGGATAACGAACCCTGTTATGCAGAAGCGGATGATTCTCATCATTGTCTGTATAGCTCTTCTTCTTGACAACATGTTGTACATGGTCATTGTTCCCATCATCCCAGACTATCTGAGATCAATAGGAGCTTGGGACACGATCACCCCGACACCCATTCCAGGTACAAACATGTCCTTATACGCCAACCTGACAAACACTACCCACGAAGATGTTGCTGTGGAGTACAAAAATGAAAATGTTGCCATTGGAGCTCTGTTTGCGTCGAAAGCCCTGATCCAACTATTAGTGAATCCATTCTCCGGTACGTTGATTGATAAAATTGGATATGACATACCCATGATGATAGGATTGGTCGTGATGTTCGTCGCTACTACGGTGTTTGCCTTCGGGAAGAGCTACGGAGTTCTGTTCTTCGCACGGAGTCTCCAAGGTGTTGGATCGGCTTTTGCAGATACAGCTGGTCTGGCCATGATCGCTGATCGTTTCACCTCAGAGCATGAGCGAAGTCGGGCGTTGGGTATTGCACTCGCTTTCATTTCTTTCGGATGTCTTGTAGCGCCACCATTTGGAGGGATCCTTTACGAATTTGCTGGCAAGATTGTACCCTTTATGATTCTGGCCCTCATCTCGCTATCAGATGGATTAATGCTACTCGTTGTGGTCAAGCCGTACGCAGAAAGAAGATGGCAGATGCCTCGAGGTACACCGATCTACAAACTGATCATTGATCCGTATATAGCCGTAGCTGCAGGCGCCCTCTCGATGTCCAACGTCGCATTAGCGTTTCTAGAACCCACGATGGCATTATGGATGGAAGATACCATGCAAGCAGTCAGTTGGCAAACGGGAATCATTTGGCTCCCAGCATTCTTTCCTCACGTTTTTGGGGTCATCCTTACTGTGAAGCTTGCTTCTCGAGCGCCTCACTACCAGTGGCTAATGGCGGCTATCGGTATGACTATCATAGGACTCAGTACCTTTATTGTCCCATTTTGTAAGACCTTTGGAGTTCTCATTGTACCTCTTTGTGGCATCTGCTTCGGTATCGCCCTTGTTGATACTGCTCTTCTCCCAATCCTCGGCTACATAGTCGACGTCCGCCATAACCCCGTCTACGGGAGCATCTACGCCATTGCGGATATCTCTTACTCGCTAGCTTACGCCATTGGTCCAATCTTGGCTGGCCAGATTATTCAAGGGGTTGGTTTTCTCAACCTCAACATCATCATCGGTGTCTTCACATTAGCTTACGTACCGCTGCTCTTCCTCCTTCGGAGGGTGTACGACATGAAGCCACAGTCACACGAAGACACCATCCTCCTCACCGAGGAACCCGCCACAGGGCTCTACCAGTCCGTCAAAGACGACTACAAACGCAGCCAGAAGGATGGCTCCAACTCCTCCTATAAGCAGTACGACGCCTTCGGCATGGAGAAACTCGGTAACGGGAGACTCGAAGGGTCTTTCAACGTGGAGAAATCCGACTCGAGCGATAACATGAACGGCTTTGCCGGATCACGGACAGATACCAAGGGCAAATCAAAGAATCCCTGTGTTCATAAAGTCGTGGCTAGGCAGCCGGATTATAGTTCTCTATCGGAACAAGAAGATTAATACTAGATTATCGTAGGAAGCAAATCGGTTCATATGCATCACTATTCCAAGAGTCTACTTTTAAAGAAGCCATATATTGTGAAGATCAGGTCACACGTGTATCCAAATGTATGTATGCTGCGAATAATAATAATAATAATGATACTAAAATACCGGTTTCTTTTATAGCGCTTTACCATGTACTGCCCACATCGTTCGAGGTAATATACCCCGGTCACTGGATTCGATCTCTATTCTGTACATTAAAGTGCACATTCTCCTCTCCCCGGGCAGCATTTCAGCTAGTCGCCATTTTACGGGTGTGTATAATCCATTTACAATGACAGTCGCATCCTACCGGGTACATAATGGATGGAAAGAAGCAATGTAGAAAAAAATATCTCGCTCAAGGATATAATGACTTTTACCTCAAGGACGTCTACTACAGTGGCTGGTAGTGGCGACCGCAAGCAAACACATAACGTTCTCAAGATGATCGCAAGACGTCCTCGCGACATTAGCAACTATAGAACGTCTCATGAACACCCTCTGGGTCTTTAATTTGCCAAATAATTGGCCGACAAAGCAAAGATTGAGGCCTAACCTGCATTCTGATTCTTGAAATATAAACCCAGTAACGCAAAGGTTAGAGACTGCGCTCTGCGAGAAATAGGGTGCATGAATTTGAATACATTTGTGAACTGGTCTGATCAAGAATATGCGTTACGTTGGTATTGTACATACGAATAAGAAATAATGTATCAGTAAACTTTTATATCTATCAGAGATTTGATATCATCCAGATATTAAGTTGTTGTTCCAAATTATTTGCTTATTTAATCGTGGTTATAATCATCATTGGTGGATGATCGTGTAATTAAAAGTGAACGAAGCCAGCTGTAATTACACGAAGAGTGATATAAATTTCTTAAAATGACATAACTTTTGTATGGATATTTCCTAAGAGCATGGGAGGGACTTGTCAAATCGTTTTCAGTTATTTTCATCTGACTTGTACTAAGTTAAATAAGTACCAGTTTCATTCGAAAATTTTGGTTACGATTCACATTTGTTAGACGACTGCTATTCTTTTTTCTGGATCATTATTTGTTTTGATAGCAAGACGGAATGACTTACATTCAGAAAGATTTCATTAAGGTATAAGGTGTACTGTGGTTGTTATTTTAGGCTCAGCACATGATCTGAATATCTTTGCGAAAGACTCTCCAACCTGCTCTAGGTAATTAGTGCTTTCCTCGTTGGGTGCATAACAACATCGTGCCAATCGCTTTCCTCCTCCATATTGCGTGCTAAAACGCACGCTTTTTCGAAGGTATTCTCGTTAGCATCTTGATGTAATATCGTAAACTCGATCATATACTTTGAGTAAGTGATTTGCCAGGTTACTAAATGAATTCCACTGACGTTTGCGTCATTTTCTCTTACGCTGAGAAGGCTATAATGATCTCCGTTCCCAGGGAGAACGTTCCCGTATGCGATCTGCAGACACGCCGCCGATCTCAGCTCGCATTAAATTATTAAGTGGACTAATTAGACCGAGCTGTATAGAAGACTATAGCGGTAGATGTTTCCTTTTTCATCTTTTATCTGGGGATGGGTCCTTCGATGGCTATGCAAAAGTATTGGTTTCCTAATGTGCGTCATAATGTTACATCAATTACGAAATATGCAGCTAGATCATGATCTCCATAACAGAAAATTCTATTGATGATATGTGATAAAAGTGTCAATTTTTTTGTTCTTCTTTTATTTAAATATACAATATACGTAAAAAGCCTGCCGCCCCCAATTCCGGAAGGCATTATTTTGAATGTGTAAAAGGAGTTGAATTAACTGAGTATATGTTAATGATTTGGATAATATACCATTTAATGATATTGTCCCCCTCGTTCATGAACAACAAGCATTTACGTTTTCAATTAACTTAAACTCAATCTTAATCATAATTCAAGGATACAAGTAATTTATACAGCAAAACGAATACTTAAGAGCCAATCATATTAAAGGGACCAAATATTTTCATATAAAGTACTCTAAATCATCGACTTCAATTGATGTACTTAATTTTTGCTAAATTCTCAATCATGTAAGAGAGATCTATACGAAACCAATGTCACTAAGAAAGTGAAAGAAGATTCGGGTTTATCTGGACATGTCTTGAATTCCCTTTTAGTTTCTGTCATTTTCTATGGCCACTATAATAATAATAATAATAATAATAATAATAATAATAATATGTCTTGTTTACCCAGGGTAGCCTCATCAGTATTAATACTGTTCCCCCTGAGGGCCCTACAATCATATTATTACCCCGGTCATCTATTTACTTACAATCGTTTATGTTTTATTTCGTAGAGAGTATATGGCAGAGACTTCTCACCATTTATATATTACAAATGAGCAAATATAATAAGGGAAGGGGGTGGTATATTTACTGTAATGGACTTTCCAAACGTAGTGCAATAGACATCATATATACCAACGGCAAATGAAATTGGTGGTGTGATTTTTTTTTTTTTTAATATTTGGAAACGGAATATATTCACATTCTAAATGAATTGTTATTTTACAGTTAACATGTTAGAAGCAATTATTTGGTGATTGGTTGTAGATTCATACATTGGTATTTGTATATTCATTGGATTTTATGTTTAAATTTTGGTGTGATGATTTTCATGTATTAAATTGATTTTATTGTATGATCATAATATTTTATCTTTCTATATATCTGAACTTTGTGTTTACGATTACAAAAAATGTATCATCTTCTATTTGAATCTCGTTCTCTCTCTCTCTCTCTCTCTATCTTTTTCTTTCTTTTCTTTTTCCTCTCTCTCTCTCTCTCTCTCTCTGTCTCTGTTTCTTTCTCTTTCTTTCTCTATCTATTCTCACAGTCTGTCATTTCTTTCCTATTTTCTTTGCTTTGTCAACATAGTTAACACATCAAGTGGTTAACATATCACAATACTCTCAGACCATAACAGGTTAGAGAATTGACAAGTATGGATGTACACCTTAGACTGCCATATCATCTGGAAGATATTATACCAAATGCACTTTACATGTCTACTTTTGGCAATATAATGATTACTGCATTGGTTATTAAAGGGATCGGGTATCTTTGCCTCAGATTCTAAACAAAATCCTGGATTAAGCTCATGCTGCAATCATAATTATAAACCTTTAGGTCAGTCGAGAATCCCATGACTTTTACAAGCCGATCGCTTGTCTGATTATCAAGCTATTTATGGTTGGAATTCGATATTTCAGAAAACGTTTTCCCAACGGCTTTTATAACACTACAGTCTATTGGGGGAGTGAGTATGGTAAAACTGGTCACTCAAAGATTGTTTTTCTTTTTGAGGCACTTCATGATCATTTCGAGGCGCATTTTAGGGCTTCAGTATTACACCATACCACAGACACGTAGGGCCATGCATCTCATATTTGTAAAACTTGAAAATTGTAAAACAGTGCCTTTAACAGAAGCTGGTAAAGGGTTAGAACGATAGGGCTTTGCATTATTTTTTCCAAAAGAAAATAATCAAAGGGGAGGAAAGGACTATCCTGCATCCATTCCATGAAAATTATATCTTTCTTTTCATTTAATCTCTTTGCTCAACCATATCGAATGGTTACATATTATAATGATCAATAAACAATTTGTGTTTCCTTTTGGCAAATATCACTTAGCTACGTCAACATTGACGTCTAGGTTCTTGTGCAAACAGTGTCCTAACTAAGTGGAACCCCCACCGGCTAATTAGAGGGAATGGATCAATTACGGGTATAAAAAGCAACACGATATTGCGAAAACCATTATGAAAACAGCAAAGAACGTCCTACCTTTTGTTTATAAATCAATTGCGGTTACAGTACTTAAAAACTGAAGAGTGCAGTACTTTTGTTATCTAAACAAAGCAAGCAATAATCGCTTCTAGTATTAAAGCATAGCGGTAAAATAAAACTAAGACAACAAAATTGTTTGTACTGCTCATAAAATATTGAAAACTGATTTATTCTGATACATGTATCTCAAATAATTCAATACTGCTCAATACAAAGAAACGATAAAACAACAAATAACTCAACAAGAGGTGGCGCTGTCTACCTATTTTAACAAACTCGAGACACGACGATGACTTAACCAAATGGACATTTTTAAACCGAGAAGTGATGATTGGTATATTGCATTTTTATTTCATTCATTTATTTGTTTTTGATGTGCAATCACGGAGAGGGTATAAGACAATATTAGATAGCACAAGAGAGAGAGAGAGAAGAGAGAGAGAGAGAGAGAGAGAAAGAGAAAGAGAGAGAGAGAGAGACATAAAGACAGAGATTCGTAAAGAGTTCGTAAAGGAAAGTGATGAATAGAAAAAAGAAGCAGAGAGAGTATGCGTGTTTATGTTTCAAGAAAGAGATGACGAGTATTTAGAGACAGAGTTACCGAAATGAGGAGGAAGAAGAACCACTACTACAGTGATCAGTAATTCAACCTGTCTTGCATAAGATAAAATATGTGTAATGCAGGTAGGCTGTTCATACAGTCAGTGTGAAACCATTCTGGTTTCAATGTGTTATGTACGGTGTAGAAAATTTACACACAATGTTGACACAGTGTAAACCTAATGTTAACACACTTTTGACGCAGTGTGAACACAGATTTGTTACATTGTGGAAAGAATTTTAAGAACGTGTGAAAAAGAAGAAAATTTAGTGTCTAAACATGATAAATACCGCATGAAAACTGTGCGTTCACATTGTATTAACCCTTGCGTACAATCGGACACTGTTCCAGGTCATATTTATATCCTAAATAACCACATAATGTGATTGTACCAATGGCCAAGGTGTTTATAATAATCATCCACAGTTAACATTCTCAAAATCTTTTCCGAGTGTATATTGTGTCCCACATAGGCCTACAGTGGATTTATATTATAAAACACACAGTGTATCACATCATGTGAATGCAGAATGTACGGGTATGTTCACACTGGCAACGTCATAAATGTGTTTTCAAAATTAAATCCATGGTAATACATGTAAACGCTATGGGTGACACGCTGCCCAGTCAGACAGGGGTATGGGATATTAAAGGGGGCGCATGGCGATGTGTTAGCGCATGCGCAGTAGGCAAATGAGGTAGCCGACCAGAGATAAATGAGAATTTTACCATACTTATAGATGTTTGTCACGTGACAGTACTTGATCACGTGATAGTTAAATGGTCCTGTGGATTATTTTTCCAACCGAATTCTCAGAAGAAAGCCGTTGAGGTGATTGCCTGAAAAATAAAAACAAATATTAGATTGTTTATCTCCCGGTTCAACATACCCGCCACCAATAATTGCTATTCATGAGGTTTTTAAGAAACAGACCGACAGAACATACAGGCGCAAACAAGTCGGCATCGGAATTCAATCTTGTTTGATTGTCCCGTGCTTCGAGTCCCCGAACGCTACTTCGGTCACACACGAATGCAAACAGAGTGCAGAATTGGAAACTACTCTTGTCTTCTAAAGATCACTCGTGATCGCTCGTACTGGGGCACGCACAGGTGATCGTGCCTGCCTCCAAGAACTTCTAAACGATGGAAGCTATGTTTCCATGGACAGGACTTTGAAGTGACACGTGGTGTTCAAACGCTTACGATGCTCATGGTAAACATACTTTAAACGAAGTACGCCTTCGGAAAACGTTTGCTTCGAGTCTCAAACGATCTTCATAAAAAGCCACTTTCGCGTGCTCTAGAGAATACATACGAGTACTTAATGATGGAATGTCTTTTTACATAGATAAAACCTTTTAAGTGATCCGAACCTGGAATTACAAATATCAAAATAAATTCAAATATACTAAAAAAGTAAAATCGGCCTGTCCGCCCTAACTTCAGCCACCAATCGTTCACGTCTGTGTATATATTGTGATTCTTATCCTTGAAATCGGAAGTTACTTTTGAAACGGAAAATTTCTCACTAGTTTGAAAGAAGAGATGTGTTAAAGATTATTAATTACTTGTGTGCACAACTCAAGGAAATAAGTCTTGCGTAAGACTTTCTATATACGTGATATAAGTAGATTTAGTAAGTCATACGACATTAGGTCGGTGACAATGACTCCGCGGCACATTCCGTACACAAACAGAGTTCTATAAAATTCAGGACCAAACGCTATACCCTTATCCTAACCCTTCATCCTTGACGAAATAAAGTCCCTAGGAATTGCCACAAGAGCGTATTCGTTGGGGCACGAGCTCCACTTCAAATTAACAGGGCAAATGAAGAAAATTAATTACATTCTGACCGATAAACTCACCAAATATGATATTCTTTACTCAAATTTATATTCAAAACTGTGTGTATTATCACGTAGCGCGGCTATAATAATAATAATAATAATTTATTAGGCGCTTAATACAGGTGTTTCTAAGCGCACCATTGTCTGACTTAAAATTACCAACTAAAACTTGTAATAAACACAAAAATATAATCTGTTCTTTATTCAATAAATCATCCAACTTCTTGTCTAGTCGGGGAGGGGCGGTATTTCTAGAGAGCAAAAGTAGTCGTTTGAAAGGCGAAAAAAGAGCTTCGAATGATTAACGTTGGTCGACATTTACATCTTGACTTTCGCGGTGTATTCTCATGGGCCTATTAAAATACACTTGTGAACTCCTTTTGGGACAGGGGCGGGAAGAATAAATTTGCGCGGGAAATGTGTGTCTTTTTATCGGCCCGTTGTGCTCCAATAGCAGGGGAAGTTCTGGCGGGAAAGGAGGGCCCTCATGTTGACATTTGAGTATCAATTGGGAGACTCTTCATGTTTCTTTATTTAGTTTTGGCGGGAATTGATGTTGACATTGACCGCTAAACGGTGCGGCAAATGATGTGTATTACGAAGGTCGTGCACCCACATCATGTATAAATGCGGGCTGAAGTCTGGTTTATCAAAGGTACAGCGAAGGGGGAAATAAATGTATCCATTTCACATTTGACATGTATTATTGGCGTTAATCTTAGTACTGAACTCGCCTAATTATTGAGGAAAACCATGAATAAATGGAAAATGCATATCTTGAAATAACTATAACACTGACAAAAAATGATGTTCTGAAAAACAGGTGCTGTGTATGGGAGTTGCACCTGTGATAAATTATAGCATGCACCTAAAGTGCCATTTCTGGCAAAGTTTTTGCCATGCTCAAGGAATGGGTGCTAAAAAGAAGAGCTGAGCAAAGGGAATTAATGAGGCAAATGAATTAGCAACTGAAGAGCTATGAATATCTAGCATATCATTTGCATATTGTTTTAAAAAAAATAATATTTTAAAATAAGTTTTAGTGTTCTTCAAGTAAATTGAATAATCTGTTGTCAGCGTCTCAAATATTTAATCGGTCCATAAACAAAAAGAACAATGGTATAGAAACAGGACAGTGAGTTTGTAATTTTGTTAATTTACTACCTCAGTCTTATCATTTACAAACCATTTTTAATCATGACAAATACGTATTGTACATATACATATGAATCTCGTGTAATGCGTATATACTATGAGTGCTGTTAATAGCCCGTATATAATTATGTTCATCAGCACCCTTAGTGTAACATTAGCTGAACCAGGTAGCACCTGCACTGGTGCTAAAGCAACACTGTCAGTGCCCAGTCACTATATGATCACTTGGGAAATGCAGAGACTAGTCTCCCA